GGTCAAGTTCCCAGATTTCTCAGAGTGGCCACAGGCTCTCCTTGACCTAGCCCTGCTCTCCGCATCACTTCAGCTTGCTTTAAAATCCACCCCCACGTTCCATGCTCCCCACGCTGAGCTAATGCAGTCCTTCCACATTGCACATCCTGCCCTGACCTCATGTCATTCGACATATACATCAGCGAGGGAAAAGGACACAGATCCTTGCCTTCAGGAGTGCATCTTCCACGGGGGGAGGCAGACAATGAACAGTGCGTACCAGGGAGTGCACACTGCATCGGTAACAGAGAAGAGAACTGGACAAAGGGGAGGGGAGAGGTCGGGGAGGGTGTGCAGTATCAAAGGGGGTGGTCGGCACAGGCTTTATTAGGAAGCTGAGATTCCAGCAAGCACCTGAAGGAGGCAGAGAGTGAGGCACGTGGGAAGCACCTTCCAGGCAGAGGGAACCTCCGGGGCAGGATCCTCAGGAGGGCGTGTCCCTAGTGTGTTCAGTACATGGCATGGAGGCCAGGGTCGGGAAGGAGAGTCCAGGAGGTGAGGTTGGGAGGGGACGATCATGCGTGGCTTCAGGGCTCCTACTCAGAGGGAAATGGGGAGCCGGTGGAGGGTGTGATAGAGGAGTGACACAGTCAGACACCAGGCACCCTGCTGACCGGCTGCTGTGTGGACGAGGGATTGCAGAGGCCGAGGGTGGAAGCAGAGAGAACGATGAAGGGCAAGTGGTAGCCCAGAAACGAGGTGAGGGTGGCTCAGACCAAGATGGCAGCCCTCAAGCTGGTTCTGGGTTGCAGGCCTGGTTCCCAAGTCCACCCCACGTCTTGATTTGGGGTGGGGATGGACGGAGCATTTAAGGTGGATCCTGGGGCCTCTCCCTCCCTGGAAACTTCCTGAGATGGGGGATGGGGACATCTCCCTCCCCTGTCACCTTGTTTTATTGCTTCCTAGAGCTTACTGCCATTGGAATATATCATTTATTTATGTGTATATTTATGGTCTATCTCCCACCTTAGAAGGTCAGGATTTTGTCTTGCCCACTGTTGACCTCCAGCCCAGGCCAGATGCCGAAGGGTCAGCTGTGAGAACAGGAGCCTGCTGGGGACAGTGAGAAGGCTCCCCGGAAGGGTGGTACTGGGGCAGATGCTGGTGCCCAGCAGGGACCGCATGGCCTCGCTAGCACTGGAGTTTGCGGCGGCCGCAGCGGGGCCGACTGGAGAAGAATTGCTTGAAGTTTTTCTCGTAGGTGGGCAGGCTCTCTCGGAAGCAGTATGCAGATTGCTTGTCACACTCGCAGGCCCTCAGCCCACAGAGGCAGCAGACACCAGGACCAAGGGCACATTCACCTGCAGAGAGACAGAGGGTCACCAGGAGCTTCTGGCCACCCCCAGTTTTTGGTTCCAAGGTCGGGAAGAACTGGGAGCTCACTGCAAGGGGTCAAGGATAGCAAACAGAAAAGAAAGGAACCAGGAGACCTTTTCCTTCATCCCTAAGCCCTTCCCATACCACACCTGGACGTGCCAGGAGTACTGGTGTGAAGAGGCACCTGGAAGGAAACAAGAGAAGGGGCAGGTGTGTGCTGCACGGAGGGGCCCTGATCTAGCACACCTGGGCAGCACACAGGCCAAGGGCACGGGGCCAATTTTCTCAGAACACATCTTCTATTTCCAACAGCTTACCTGACGTCTCACGTGGGCATCACAGGCATCTCCAGTGTAAGATGCCCCAAAGGAAGCTCTTGATGTAAGTGCCCCTCTCACCTGCCAAGTGGTCCTCCACCCCCACTCTTGGCTCAGGAAATGGTACCACCTCCCACTCAAGCCAGAAAACTAACAGCTAATCTCGATTCTTCCCCTCGTTTCTCTACCACAGCCTGTCCACCCAAAGCTCCATTGATGTCTCTATGTTCAAAGTATTTCATACCCCACCCTCTTCTACCTTTTGGCCATAAACCCAATCCATGTCATCACCAGATTTTCCTCCCTAATGGAAGGAAACAAATAGGGATCTTCTTTAAGTGTCACTTGAATTAGGTTCACTCTCCTACTGAAAGCCCTGTAGTGGTTCCCTTCCATTTAGGAAAGACATCCCAAATCCTTGCCCAGGTTCCAAAGCAGGCTGGTCATGATGGGGCCCCTGCCAGCCTTTCCATCCCCACGGTCCTCCACTCTCTCACCTTCACTCTGCTCCAGGAATGCCGGCCTCTCTCTGTCACATGTCTTATTCAGTCTTGCCCCAGGGCCTTTGCACTTGCTGTTCACATTGTCTGAAACACTTCTCTCCAGGATCATGAAATGATGGGATCCATCCACCCTTTGGGTCTTGATCAAATTTCCCCTTTTCAGAGAGGCTCTCCCTGACCACTCCTCCTAAAGCTCTCCCCAGCCACTCTCCCTCACACCCCTGTCTGATGATTCACTGTACTTTTCACATCTCTTACTTCATTTCTTTGTTTACTTGCTTATGCCTGTCTCTCATGGACAAAGTGTAAGCTCTTTGAGGTTGGAGCTTTGTCTGTCTCGTCTGTCCCAGTATCTCCAGCATGCAGAGCACATGCTGGCACATAGTAGGTGCTCAAATGTCACTGACTAAATGTATGAAGCCTCAATGGGCCTTTGGGGTCGAGTGTCTGCCCTGTGGCCAAGTGACCACTAGAGGGTGATCTTTCACTTAGTAGTCGGAGCTGTAGTGGTGTGTGTGTGTGTGTGTGTGTGTGTGTGTGTGTGTGTGTGTGTGTGTGTGTGTGTGTAGGGGATGTCTAAGATTCTGGTGTGTTGACCTTGGGCAAGTTCGCTTCAGTATCAGTTATAAAATGGTGATAAAAACCCAACAGTGTCCAAAATGAATAATGGTGTCTACTTCGCAAGATCCTTGGGATGATTTTTGCTGTTGTCACAGACGGAGTGGCCTGGACGTGCCCAGTACGCGTGCCCTATGAACGCTGGTTTTATGAGGATGATGCACGCTCAGCTTCACAGGTGGGAAAAAGAATGGCCCTTCTGAGCTGGACCCAGCGCTGACTGTACTCTGCTTGTTCGCCTTTTTCTGCCTCTGATGTCCACAGCTCCTGCAGGAAGCTGTCCTCCCACATCTCGCTGGAGACTGGATTTCTCATGACGGGTTGACACCCACCGTACGCCTCAGCTGTACTCACCCTCAGGAGATGCGCCAGGGTCTGGTTCCGGCCGCTCCCGCTGTTCCTGGTGCCTGGGCCACCTCTGCCCTCCCACTTCCCCTTCTCCGTCCATCTGGCAACATCCTTCAGGCACCAGCTCCCCCAGGGACTCCCTGAGAGCCCCATCCCCATCCATGTCCAGATCTCTCACCTCTGCTGTGCCCAGCACGCCCTCTGCTCCCCTCCCTGGATGGCCACCTCTGTGGGGCCACCAGGTCATGTGGCTGGTGGTCTTGGTGGGGCCAAGGGCTTCTTGGACACAGGGCTTCACCCCATCCAACCTCACTTCCCTCCCAAAGGGCCTGGCACCTCGTGCAGTCGCTCATCGGGTGGAAACCAGACGTGAGACTCTTCTCACCTTTCCTCTTTCTCATCCTTCTCTCTTCCTTTTTATCCCTCTGTCTCCTGTTCCTCTTCTTTTCCATCTCTTCTCTCGTCCATCTTAGTTCCCCAAACCCCCTTCTTCTTTTCTCACATGTCCCTCTCCCTTTCTCGCTCTGTCTTCTGGTCCTTTCCAAAGCAGAAAGGACCTTTTCCTTTTGTGGGGTACAATTCTCTCCTGACATCTAGTCCTGCATCTAAAGGCTTTGCCCAGTCCCCAGGCATTTGGGACCGATCTGGAGTTGTGGTCCATCACTGTGGACCCCCCACAGCCGTGGTAGGATCAGGCCTGTCCTGGGCTGGAAGAAGAGGCAGACCTAGGCCAAGAAATGGACCAAGCCAACCCAGTGAACTCAGCTGTAAAGGAGAAAAATCTTTGCAAACTATAAGGACTCAGCCCTAGGCCAAGATGTAGGACCCTAAAGCCAGATCCTGCATCTTCCAATTTGCTTGTGGGGAAACTGAGGCATGAAGAAGGGAACTGCCAGCTTCAGGATTTTCTTCCTCATTCCATGAAATATACTTCCATGAGACAACGCGAGAAAGTCTACGTCCCTGCCCAGGCTAACCCAGACTGCCTGCCTGGTCTCCATCCTGGTCTCTCAACCCTCTCCTCCAGTGCTCACGTTTCAAAGCTCAGGGCTCTAAATACCATCTGACGGGGGAGGGTATATGTAGCGCAAGTGGGAGAGTGCGTGCTTAGCATGCATGAGGTCCTGGGTTCAGTCCCCAGTATCTCCTCTAAAAATAAATAAATGTAATTAGCTCTCCCACCCCTGCCAAAATAAAATAATAAAATATACAATAATAAATAAAATATAAAAAGCAAAATATTTATAAATAAATAAATACCATGTGAACACTAACGGCACTTCAGTCCTCACCCCAACCCAGACGCCTCCTTTGAACTTTAGACACCAATCTGCTCGTGTCCACCTGACTCCCCCTTGGGTGTCTGATTGCATCTCAGCCTCATCACGGCTCATGCCAGGCTCTTGCTGTGTCTTCAGAGTCTGCTCTCTCCCATCTGCACGAGCTCATGGGTGACCCCATTATCCATGGCTGCTCAGACCAAGTACGTCAGACTTGGCTTCCCTTTGCCTCAAGTCCCACAACTCATCCATCAGCAGGTCCTGTCAGTTACCTGCCAAACACAGTCAGCGCACGACGCTTCTTCCCAGCCACTGAGCCACGAGAGGGTAGCTTCTCCCCAGGGCAACTGAATGGTACCCCCCTTTATTCCCTTGCTCCCCAACTTCTCTGTACTGGGGCTGGAGTGATCTTCCTAAAGTAAACTTAGAGCAGGTCACTTCCTGTTTTACCTCTTCCCCTTGCAGCTAAAGGAGAAGGCGAGCTCCTCACCCCATCCGCCAGGCCCCATGGGACTCATTCCCGGCGCGACGCCCATCCTCACATGCCCTCCCTCCCGTCTCCGCGGCTCCTACCACACCGGCTCAGTGCCACCTCCTTAGAGAGGTCTTGCTCGGCCGCCTGAAGTCGCCATCTTTCCCCACCGCGGCCATCGTCATCCCTTAGCTTACTGCCTTATTTTAGAGGCTTCACAGCACTTGTTACTACCTGAGTGTCTCTTTATTTCTGAATATTTTATGATCCGTCTCCTTCCCTGAACACAAGCGCCTTCTGGGCAGGGAGTCTGTCTTTTCGTTTCAGATCTTCAACCTCAAACATGTTATAAACTCCCTATCACTGTTCGCCGCTGCCTCCCTGGCTGGAGTTCACATAGCCTGTGAGGCAGGGAACGGAGCCCCACCCCAGGAAACAGGCAGTCAGGTTCTCCGTCCAGATCTGCCCCCTGCCTGCTTTAGCATCTCAGGCAAGTACCCTTCTCTGAGGCTCTTTCTTCAGCTTTCCAGTGAGGGTGCAGATACTTGCATTCACTATTTCATGAGGTTTCTCCTCCATTCGCTCATCAAACAAACAGGTACTGAGTTCCTAGCCTGGTCTTTAGCTAAGAAGCAGGGGTGTAGATCTGAACGAGGACCCCACACTGCATAGCTCTGGGCATCCTTCTCTGTGGCTTTATGAGAATGAGCCCCACCACTACCAACCGGTGCTCCCCAGTCTCCCAGAACTCACATCAGGTTGATGCCTAAGTAAGCAAGTAAGTAAATGAGGCAATGTCAGGTAGAGACAAATGCCGGGAGAGGAAAAGGGTGATGTGTCAGTCAACTCAGTTGCAAAGGAGAAAAATCTTTGCCAACGATAAATGTCAGCGGTTACCCTGTTCACCCTCCCACTTTGGCAGAGGGAGAAGTCACAGGCTCAGAGATGGAGGTGATAGTGGTACCTTTGGCTGGAACCTGGGCTCTGCCGCCCACGGCTGCTGGGCTCCTCCCCGAACTATATATGCATGCATGTGTGGGTGGAGGGGGCGTCACCACAGGCAAATCTTAAAGCCCCTTGCCAATGCCAAGCACTTATGTAAGCCCATTCAAAAGAGGGGTAACAACCTCCCCGGTTGCCTGAGGGCGGCCTTCACCACTTGGTAAACTGGCCCCAGGGCTTGGGTTCCAGGCCTTTCTCTGCGTGGATCTCCCAGTGACATTTAGAGACAGGGACAGACCAAGTTGTTTTTCTCCTTTCCCTTCCCTGCTCACACCAACTGTATCCTGGAGCAGCCGCTGGTTGCTAGGCAACCTGGGACCAGGCTCCGGTGCAGGATTTGAGAACTCAGAGGCTGGGGAGACGGTTAACTCTTGCAGGGCAGCTCTTTGAACTGCAGTATAACTGGGGGGTGAGGGAAGAGCTTTTATCCTTTAAGGGGTTAATGACATCAGGTTGAGGAGATTCAAGCGCAGAGATGCTTCAAAGAAATCTCTCAAGAGTAACAAAGAAAACCCCGGTGCTTTTCCGCAAAGTAAAGGGGAAAAGAACCCTGAGATGAAAAGAGAAACCTTAACTTCTAAAGGAAGGGCGTTAACTAAGCACCTGTTACGGGTCAGACCTCTGAGCTGGGTTACCTTGGTCAGTCCTTGCAGCAGCCTTACGAAGTTCCAATTAGTGTCTCCATTCTGCAGATGAGGAGACTAAGGCCCAGGGTGGTTGCGTAATTACCCAGCGAGAAAAGGTCAAGGCTGCCTGACTCCAAAGCGTGTGCTCTCTCTGGGCCCCTTAGCAGGGTGCATAGAGCTAGAACAGAAAGATCTGGGGCGTTACAGTCAGACCAGCTCTTTCAGCATTTTTTTTCCTGTCCCCTGGGCCAGGGCAGAACATTCTGACAAGTGTGCTGGAGATAATGAGGCTGGCATTTGTGTGAGCTCTCTGGTCAAGAGCATCCCCATCACCCTCCCGACAGCCCTGTGGCACTGGGGAGGGTAGCATGAGGCAGGAGCATCCGCTGGGGTCAGTTAACTAGGATTTGAATCCCAGCTCTTCTTTCTCTGGCTGTGTGACCTCGGCCATCTGACTTAACCTCTCTGAGCCTCAGGGTCCTCCTGGATGAGGGGAGAATAATGCCCACCTCCGAGGTTTACCATGGATTCAAGGCGCCGAGTGTAAAGCATCTGT